GGGTCGCGTCGCCGTGCGCCCCCTGGACACCGCTGCTCACAAGCCTAGGCTTTATTAGGAACCAACCCGTAAGATACAAACCAACGGAAAACGTCAAGGAAGAGTTGTGTGAAAGCATTACACAGACACACTACGCAGAAGGGAGCACACCGCGCTCAGCAGCCCCCCCTGCGCCCAGGCCGGGGGGAACAGCCGCCCCAGCCCCCGAGATCCCCCATCCCCTCGCTCAGGGGCAAGCACGGTTACTGCCACGTGTCCCCTCAGAGTCCCCTTGACCTCAGCTCTCCGTACACATCCAACGCCCAGTGAGAAAGGAGCTGGCGCAGGCTATGGCGCAGCCAGCACACACCACATCGCTCTGCTAGCCCGCAGCCTGGCCAGCTCGCCCTCCCGGCAGGACATGCTGCTGAACAGCAAAGCACACAGCGCTGCCCTCCTGCAAACAGATCCCCTGCCGAGAACGCAGCGAAGGCCACGGAGGGCTCCCCGAGACTCCAGTGGGAGCAAAAGAGGACATTAGGCAAACCACAACCAGATACAGCTGGAGCCAGGGAGATGGCAGAAGTGCCAGCGTGCTGCACAGCCTCACGGGCAATGCTGCGTCCCCTCATGACCGTATTCCCTGCCTCCTCCCCTATTAGTTAGAAGCCTGACAAAAGGGCAGCAGCAGCATCCACAAGCTGCCCCTCTCTGCTCGATGGCCTGTACGGTTAGGGTGATTAAGTCCCTGAGACCACCAGGGGAAAGGAGAAAGCCCTGTCACGTTTCAGCCTCCACCTCCCTTCTCTGTGGGAGGGAGCACAGAGCCGCTGGGGAGGCAGCCAGGAATGGCACCCAGAATGTCACACATGGCTTTCCTGTACAGCTACCCAGACTGACAGGGGCTGTTCCCTGCTCCAGTCTTACAGGATTCCCCACAGTTCACCTCCTGGAGTAACAAAGATTGGGAAAGCGGCAGCATTTGGTTTAAGTACAGCAGGAAGAGAGCTCAAAAAGAAGAGCGCATTCATTTGAGGTTAATACAGGAAACCAATTTCAAGGGGAGTCTGTTTCAGAGAGAAGCAGCTGTCACAGCTCCTGCCCCTCACACTGGAGTTACAGCCCAGCCAGTTTTATGTTTTCTTCTTTAGCTCCTCAAATCTCCGAGAAAGATCATCAAAGTCAATGTCTTCAGAGGCAGAAGAGTTGGCGCCGGCAGATGCTGTTGGCAGCGTATCTGGCACAGATGGTAATTCAGGCAGCACAAAGTTATCACAGGTATTAAGAGCTCCAGCTCCTGGTTTAGGAGGAGCTTCTGACTTGGGCCCGGGCCCTATTTAGAATAAGAGAAATATCATTTCACCTCACCATCACACTCTCACGAGGCAAAACAGAGCCACACAAAAGAAAGATCATTCTACGAAAGAGGCAGTACCAATGTATTTTTCTGAACAGGACCAGTGGTCACGCACCTCCAACTGCACTCAACGGGGAAAAGGTTTCAGGTTTATATGGCTGCAAGAGGCTGCAGCCATGACAGATCTAGGCGGGTGACCCTATCCTATGGCTGCACCAGACAGTAGGAGATCCCCCTCCACTGCCCATAGCCAGCTGCAGGTGGGCTGAAGCTCCCACATCCCTATACTGGCTGGACTGCATCATGGGGACTCAAAGTCCCAGTTCTCTCCATTCCAACACCTCCTCAAGACACGTGCAGGTATCATGCTGTCACTCAGCTGTCAAACTGAAGCACACAGCCAGATCCAGTGCACCCATAGGCCTATCTTCTTCAGCATGCATCATCAACACTCCCCAGAGGATTCCATTAGATCGTCAGAAATCCTTGCTGGAGCTGGCAAAGGTCTACTTACTCTAAAAACCCTCCCTGTCCTTGTCAAGTGCTAGAGATAACAAGTGCTTTCAAAACACACAGAGCAGAATCACACTGTACGAGGCAGGAGAGTTTTGTTATGATCCAATCACGATGCATGAAGCACCTCATAAGCCTTTAGGCAGATGGACAAAGGCATAACAGCTATTTCTACTAGCCCTGCTCTGCTGCAGAATCTCAACACCTGACATTAATACCAGCCTATTTACCTTCTTAGTGCTTACTTCTCTCATTCTATTGCTGCAGAACAGTATTATTCACACCGTGTAAAAATATATCATCACTTAGAGCTGTTCCTTTCTCATTTTATCCTGCAACGCCCTATACTTGGTCTGATGAGACAGCTTAAGCTGGAGACCCAGTACTGACTCTGAAGTCAAACTCTAGTTCTTGAGTTTCCCAGCGGAAGTCTGGATCCTCCCTGTTTTGAGAGGATACTCTCCATTTCCGTCAGAATCCTCTCCAAACTCAAATCCTGCTCTCAAGATGAGTAGAGTTCTACACATTGTTTCCTATATGGAAAGCTTCCTCCCAGGAACACTGGGATCCCAAGCTAACCACAGCCCCTAACCACCCTAGGTTTCCCATACCTCTTGACATACTCACCAGCCACCGGCGCAGAAGCATCCTTGTCAGTATTAGGCTCATCAATCTGGAAAAGACTCTCAGTTACTACAGCGCTCTCTCTCCTACCAGGCACAGGATCACACAGGTGTGTAGGAACTGCTCACAGGCAACAGCAGCCACACCCACGCAGAGCAATACATACCCCACCCCTCCCCAAGAAGGCAGACAGCCCTGGCTTCCAGCACACTCAGAAGAATCTGCCTCTCTTCCCAAGAAAAGGAGGCAGTGCTTCGACTTTCCTCTCCGTCCTGGTTTCGGCAGGGATAGAGTTAATTTCCTTCTTAGTAGCTGGTACAGTGCTATGTTTTGGATTTAGGATGAGAATAATGTTGATAACACACCCATCTTTTAGTTGTTGCTAGGTAGTGCTTGCACTGGTCAAGGACTTTTTAGTTTCCCATGCTCTACCGACTGAGAAGGCTGCAGGTGCACAAGAAGCTGGGAGGGGGCACAGCCAAACTGGCCAAAGAAACATTCCATGCCATGTGATGTCACGCTCAGTACATAAACTGGGGAAAGCTGGCCCCCGGGGGGGCCGCTGCTCGGGGACTGGCTGGGCAT